AAGAAGATTCTGTCGTGCTTGTGTTGCTTCGTGTGGAGATTGTGGACTGGGCTGCAGGATGCTGGGTTGGCGCACACGCTGTGAGGAGCCATGCGTTGCCAGCCTGGCGTTGTTGGTAGAGCCCTGGGGAGATACAGACTCATAGATAGTGCGCCTTCTTTTCACGGAAGATCTCATCATCGTGCCGAAGTCGAGGTTGAGGTAATCCGGATTGGGTACGTTTGCAGGAGTCTTGGCCCATGGAGTAGTAGCGCGAAGCCATCGCACAAATAGCTTCAGCCTAAGGCATCCAACTACAACAACTATGGTACTGAGATTTTCTTAAATTAATTGCAGCGCATTTACATTCAATTCATGTTATATGGTACATTGATGCTATAATACATTATAGAGGAGACATGAGAAATATCAATCGGCAAGTCAGATATCCAGCCAACCTTGCGCCAAAAACCGTACATCATGATCAACATGAGTTAAGAGATAATCATTGCTTAAGCATTTTCAGCTTTTGCTTCAGGGGCAGCCTCCGCAGTAATGGCTAGCCCATTCTTTTCTTCATTGAAAGAAACGCGGGCAGTCTGGCCAGCCGTGACCTCGCCACGGATGATCTTATCGGCCAGCCTGTTGCCAATTTCCTTGGCAATGAGACGATTAAGAGGACGAGCACCATACTTGGGGTCATAACCCTTCTCACATAGCCAGTCCTTAATCTCGTCGTCGACCATGAGAACCATACGTCGATCATCAAGTCTCGATTGGAGCTCCTTGATTCTGATGTCGACAATGTCTCTCAAAGCTTCGCGGGACAGTCTCTTGAAAATGATGAACTCGTCAATACGGTTGAGGAACTCTGGTGGGTAAGCAGACTGCACAACATCCATGACCGATTTCTTAACCTCGGGAGAAAGCTCTGCGCTTCCTGTATCCTTGGAAGAGTACGACGGGTCGGCTCCCACCAGGATTTCGGCACCAAGGTTCGAAGTAAGAACAATGAGGGTGTTCCTGAAGTCAACCTTGTGGCCTTGAGCATCCGTCAAGAAGCCCTCATCGAGAACCTGCAACAAAAGAGCGGAAATGTCACGGTGGGCCTTTTCGAACTCATCAAAGAGCAGCACTGCGTACGGCTTGCGTCGGACAGCTTCCGTCAGCTGGCCGGCATCGTCGTAGCCCACATAACCAGCAGGAGAGCCGATCAAGCGACTGATAGTATGCTTCTCTTGGAACTCGCTCATATCGAACCGTACAACGGCGGTTTCGGTCGAGAACAGGAATTCGGCCATCTTCTTGCAGAGCTCGGTCTTTCCAACGCCGGTGGGTCCAAGGAACATGAACGAGGCTAGAGGGCGATTCTCCCCGCTAAGGCCGGCTCGCTGCATGCGAACTGCATTAGCGACTGCAGAAAGCGCCTCGTCCTGGCCACGCACTGACTGACGTAGCGTGTCCTCCATGCGGATGAGTTTCTCGACTTCACCAGCCATGAGCTTGTTAACGGGGATACCAGTTGTCCGCGAAACGACATTTCCAATGTCGTCGGCAGTGACTGAGTCGTGGATGAGGCTAGACGAAGTGCCGGCTGTTGCTTCATCTCCTTCTTTGGGTAGTTTGGCTTCAAGACTGGGGATAGTGGCATATCTCAGTTCACCAGCTTTGGCGAAATTTCCCTCTCTTTGGGCCTGCTCCAACTCGAACCGTGCTCGCTCTAGCTCTTCTTTGACACGTTTAAGCTCTTCGATTTCAGCTTTCTCCTTCTCCCAGATCTTAGTCAGCCTTTCCGCTTCCTCCTGCTTGGCTTTCAGATCTTCCTGTAGCTTCTCGCGCCTTTCACGGCTGCTGACGTCGGTTTCTTTGCGAAGAGATTCCAACTCAATCTGAATGGTGGTAATGTCGCGATCCAATTCTCTGATCACATCCGGCTTCGATTCCTGCTGCAGTCGCAAGGCCGAAGCTGCTTCATCCACCAAGTCGATGGCCTTGTCTGGCAGGAAACGATCGGTAATGTAGCGGTTGCTGTACGTTGCGGCGGCCACTAATGCGCCGTCGGTGATCCGTACACCATGGTGGACTTCATACTTGTTCTTGATACCGCGTAGAATGGAGATTGTTGCAGCGACCGATGGCTCGCCGACTTGGATCGGCTGGAAACGTCTGGCAAGGGCCACATCTTTCTCGATCAATCGGTATTCGTTTAATGTGGTGGCTCCGCAGCACTGGAGCTCTCCTCTCGACAGTGCTGGCTTCAGAAGGTTGCTGGCATCGATACTGCCTTCGGCCTTACCAAGTCCCAACAGAGTGTGCAACTCATCGATGAAGAGAATCACGCCGCCTTGCGCCTCCTCGACCTCCTTCAGGACGGATTTCAAACGTTCCTCGAAATCACCTCTGAATTTGGCACCTGCGATGAGGGAACCCAGATCCAAGGAGATTACACGCTTGTCCTTGATACTTTCGGGGACATCTCCTTGAACAATGCGCTGGGCCAAACCTTCCAAGACCGCGGTTTTACCAGTGCCTGCAGCTCCGATGAGGACAGGGTTGTTTTTTGTCCGCCTGGAGAGGACCTGGATGGTGCGATGAATTTCAGCATCTCGTCCAATGACGGGGTCGAGTTTGCCCGCTTTGGCTTTAGCAGTAAGATCTACACCAAATTGTTCCAATGCCGACTTCTCGGGTTCGCCACCGAGGTTCATCCGATGCGTGCCTCCTGGGGGATGAGGCCGGCCATTGGCATAGTTGCGCGAGGGTATTATCGAGCGAGGATTGTGAAGACTGGTGGTGCTTGATAAGGTTGGTAATAGTCTAGTGCGACGTAATAAAGCTTGGGACGGTTGAAGGATCCGGTTCGATGACGATAGAGTCGAGGGTCGGAGCAACCGACCTCGGGATAGCTGCAGTCTTGCCGACATGGTCGAGATCAGACCGTGTAGAGGATTTAAGCTCAAGACAAGCTTCAATCTGTGTGTTTCGACTGTAGAATATGGTCTATATGTTGGATTTCGCGATCAGTCACAAAGGGTGCATCACCACGACTATATAGCCGGTTGCCCCCCAACGTCGCGAGTGTTCTCGAAGGCTCCACCTGGGTGAGGAAGTGAGTGACGGTGAGTGGCGGAAGCTCCCCGAACTGGACCAGCCTTTTCCAGACTTTGGAAGGGCGCTTTGCGGGCTTTCTTCCAAGCTCTTCGAATCCGTCTACCGTCAAGATCACGTGTAGCCCCAAAAGGAGGGGCGCTGTGGGCGTCGCCCGAAAAATTTCGACCTCTCAGGCAGGGCCCTGGAGGGTGGAAGGTGGAAAGGTGGAAAATTGAAAAAAAATTACTTCAGAACACCTTTCCCCTCCTTCTCCTCCTCCTCCTCCTATTTATTCCCTCCTTCTCCCCTCCCCCTCCTTTTTTTCTTCTTCCTACACCACACTCTTCACATACACATACCTTCACAATGGGTTTCACTGACTTCGTTTCCGACGCCGGCCTCACCCGTATGTCATTCCCTACGTCTTTTTCTTCCTTTCTGTCCCTTTCTGTCTCTAGCAGTCACTAATTGTGCCCCTCAGTCGCCAACAACTACCTGGCTTCCCGGAGCTACATTGTTGGGTAAGGCACTCTTGATGATGTTTACCCCTCTTTCCCCTTCTTGTTCAAGGCTTTTTTCCTTGTTTGTATGATGAAAACAAATTGGTCCGTGTTTATGAGGCGGCTTAAGACCCCGCTGCAAGATTACACAACAATGCGAGCAATCGCGCTTCTGATTACTTGGAAAACCTTTTCATTTTGTTGCATTCTCTCCCTGAATTGACTTTTCAACCCATCGACACCTTGTTGTACCATGATGATGGACTTTGGCTAACTCCATTCAAGCGATGCTCCCTCCCAGGCCGATGTCGTGACCTTCAAGGCTTTCTCCGGTGCTCCTGACGCCGAGAAGTACCCCCACGTTGCCCGCTGGTACAAGCACATCGCCTCCTACGAGGCTGAGTTCTCCACTCTCCCCGGTGATGCCTCCAAGGAGTACACCACCTACGGCCCTGAGGCCACCGAGCTCCCCACCAACCCCAAGGACAAGCCCGCTGCTGAGGATGACGACATGGACCTCTTCGGCTCCGATGAGGATGAGGAGGAGGACGCCGAGGCCGTCAAGGAGCGTGAGGCTCGTCTTGCTGAGTACAAGAAGAAGAAGGAGGCCAAGGGCCCCAAGCCCGCTGCCAAGTCTATCGTGACCCTGGACGTCAAGCCCTGGGGTATGTTCTACCATTATTTGACCACCAAAAATGCAGCTACTAACCAGTAACAGATGATGAGACCGACATCCAGCAGATGGAGGCTAACGTCCGTGCCATTGAGATGGACGGTCTCGTCTGGGGTGCTTCCAAGTTCGTTCCCGTTGGTTTCGGTATCAAGAAGCTCCAGATCAACCTTGTCGTTGAGGACGAGAAGGTCTCTCTGGATGAGCTCCAGCAGCAGATCGAGGAGGACGAGGACCACGTCCAGTCCACCGATGTTGTAAGTTTTATCACTTTCAGCCCTACTCACCTCGCGTCAGTACTAACTTGCTACCCTACAGGCTGCCATGCAGAAGCTGTAAATGATTCTTGATGAACTGAACCCTATGGTGTGACGATGGATTATTTGATGTTATTCCACGGGAATTTACTGTCATGACCTTGAATAAATAAATAAAAGCCGCCTCGATTGGCGTGACGAATAATAAAAAAATCACAAAATTATACCCAATTCACTTTTGTCTCTTGCATGATTAGTAGCGCGTAGTCATTGCCCCTCAGTTTAGCCCCTCATCAGCCAACACCGGTAGACAGCTGCAAGCTAGCTGCGAAGCCGAGCCAATGCGTACTAGGTAGCGAGCAAGCAAAAGGTCAATGCTGCCCAATCTCGTGGGGCCGTTATCAATTCAGACATGTGCAGCCACCGTACGGAGTAGTAGCCCATCGCAACTTGGAAGAGCCCGCGGGCGCTCGGCTTGCTTGCAGTCCAGGTCATTCCGGTCCACCGTACCAACCACCTCCGCAGGTCCGATACCGATACACCAGAGCAATTAGAAGCTACTACCTTATTGACTATATTGCACTCAGTTGACCTCCTCTTGCAATTTATCAATCCGGGACAACAAGCTCCCACCCATCCTCCCAATCCACCAGCAGAATGGGATTCTTCTCCCGCCTCCTCACCCTATTCGGGTTGGTCTTGCTTGCCCATGCGTAAGTCCAGCATCATGCATACAACCCACCACGATCCTATACCCTCGTCTTCACAGACAACACCTTCAGAAACCCCCTCCCCTCCCCATATCTTCCCCTAAACACCATACCCAAAGCTAATACCCCCCGGAAACACAGAGGCTACTCCGCCCACGAACACACCCTCCTCACCAGCAGCACCAGCAGCTCCCGCCTCAACCCGCTCCACTCTACCACCACCACCACCACAACAACCACGCACCTCCCGCCGGACATCATCATCGAAGCCCTGGTGTCCTTGATCGTCGTCTCCGTGGGCCTCGTCCTGGGCACCGAGAAACTCAAACCCATCAGCTGGAGCGAATGGGCGGGCCAGATCGAGCGCGAGGGGAAAGGGCGCCATCCGTATCGGCGGTTGGAGGAGCGGTATGGGTTCTGGGATGTCAGGGTATGTGCTTTTTTCCTTGTGTGTTCAGGGGGAGGGGGGATTGTCTGCGGAGGCTTTGGGTGAGGGCTTTGGGTGAGGATTGGGAGTATCTGGCAATGGCTAATGATGATTGTTGGGTGTATAGGCGAAGAGAAAGGAGTTTGCGGATTGGATCCGGGGCACGGACTTGGGGGAGGCGGTTGAGGCAGTTGAGAAGAAATGATGCCCTGTCTCTGGGTTGTTGTGGGGTGGATGGGATTGGGCTGGGCTTGTGGGGGAGGTTGTGTTCCCTCGGGATCAAGCAAAAGGCATGGTCTGGGTAGGTAGATTAGGGAAGAGGGTTATTGTATATTATGGTTTCTTGCCTAGGAATAATCGAGGGTCGTGTGGTTGGTTTGCCGGTTTCTTGGTGTTCGATGGGCTGGTTATTCTATACGGGGCTACTGTGCTGTCCCTAGGCTTGGTTTGATGGAGTTGAGGCTGGACTGGTGAGCTGGGATGGGTTTGTTTCTTCTCTTCTCTGCTGGGCAGTTAGCTGAGAACTTCAAGGCTTCTTGACTTACTACCCCGGGCAGAGGAGAGGCGTGCGAGCACTTTACTTTGTATATGTCTACGTGCTCCCCCCGGCGCCAGTCGACGCCTAGATTCATCCTATAAGCGCCTCAAGCCTGCCTCAAACCGAATACGCACTCCCTCGATTCTTCCAGAAGTCCAAACGAACCAGCCATGTTCGACTCAAATTTCCATCTCACGGACATGCTCAAACACCGTGTGGTTTCATCAGTACGAACCCAATTCTGTGTTTCAGTCATAGCCCCTGGGGAAGACCGGGAGAAGAACGTGGTCCGTATCGTTCCTCCAAGAACCGGTGGTCTACGCTTCTTGCCCTCGTAATGCTGCTGGCTGCATGCAAAACATTCCACGACCATTCTCGAGTTACTTGACGATCGGTTTCATGACATGCAGATACAAAACCCTGGCCCTGTGGCCAAGGTATCTCGAGTCCGGGGCGGGGAGGTCCAGAGTATCGGGATGTACGGGGTTTGTCTGAAATGGTTTTGGGTACGGAAGTGGATTTTGAGTATCAGATACTGGGGATACGGGCTGCAGGAGTCGAGTCTGGTATTTCGGATGTAGGTTGAGACAATGACGCGCGCTGGGGGTTGTCTGTAGTCTTTGTGCGGGAGATCTCTGGGCGAGACAAGATACAAGATATGCGTCAGAGTTCATGTTCTCTTATCGTCGTGGATTATGGGCAAATGTATGAATATGAATGAGTTTGCAAACACCAGCGTCCTCTGTATCTCCTATACTCATCCTGTCCTAGTCGGGATGTGTTGTTTCCATCTGTGCTATATAACCGAGTCGAACGACTGGTTGAGACACAGCAAGTCAATCAAGAGATCCGAAAATGCACATGAGTTCTGTCGACAACTCCTCAAGGCTGGAAGCAGCAATCTCCACGGGGAAAGAAGTACCTTTTTGACCCCAAAGTGTCATGTGGCCGGCTAGCCGGTCTGTTCAGGGTGCAGTGGATGGAGATCTGGGCCACTTTTGTTCGTATCCCAAGACGGACAGGAGGAAACCTACCCAATGAAGTCCATGAATAAGCCTTGTATTTGGCCGAGTGGGGGAAGCGCAATGAGGAACTAAGCGCAGCGGTCCAGGACGGCACAGCGGCAGAACCAAAGTGATCGGGCCTTGCTCGTCTAAGACATATCACGACAATGGGGAGGGTTACAAAGTACGGAGTACGGAGCACAGAACGGAGTATGGGTGGGAAAGAGAACAAGCAAGTGGGAATTATGCTCGAATGTCCGGGGAATAGTGCGCAATGAACCGGAGGAAAAAGACAAAGGAACTGAGTCGAGAACAATCTTACTTCTCTCGCACTCACTCTCTTCCGAGGTATTCGCTGGCACTCCTTCGCATCTCGAGCATCTCGAATGGTGAAGAATCAAAAAGCAACCACACCGTACAGAGTCCCAGCCACCGCTCTCTGATCTTGCAGCCGGCTTCAGGTTCAAGCTGAGGCCTCCCTCGATCGAAGCTCGACTCATTAATGATTGGCTGCCGTCCGCCCAAGCGCAAATTAGTCCAAATTAGCGACATCGGGCGGAAAAGGCGCTCCACCGCAGTCCTGGGGTATCACAGTCATACATTATCCACCGAACTTGGCCTGATGAGACAAGGGCGGGATGAGACAAGAATTGCTTAACTACCGAGTAATTGAAGGGTCTGAAGACTGAAATCCTTAATTTGCATGGTGACCGCCTTGCCAGCCGGGCCAAAATCTTGTCTTTTCCTCCGTGCTGCCATTCGCATTTGTAGCCTTTGACCACTGCTATTGCAAGAATGAGAGTAATCGAAACATGCTGACTCCTGTGAGAGCAAGCATCCTTGCATCGCCTTTGGAAAATGTGATTTGCCTGGCCGGAGATTTTGTCACCCCTGATACGACCGGCGTACCTTACGGTAGACTGTTCTGGCCCTAGTGTCTCGAATTGGCGGATCGACAAGAGGCCCCCCCGGGTCATGCACATTGCTCTTGGGCAATGGACATAGACTACGACAGCCCACTCAACCAGCTGCTTCTGTAGATGCAGGAGAAAAGGAGCTGTTGTTATGCTCTTAGCACCCCAGTTGTGGTGTCAGACTCATTTCCTTCTTGCTCCTTGGCTTCTCCATCCCCAGACTAGAAGGATCATAGGATGAGACAGACAGTAGACTTTCATTTGAGGGTATGCAATTGTTAGAATCGCAATACCGTAGTGTACGCCCTTGCAAGGGATCGTAATGATCTTACGTCAGTGCTGAATGTGAGGGTTGAGGATGAGGCGTCTTTTTGGCAGTCGTTACGTGGACCGCGTCAGTGGCAGCGATAGTGTACTGGTATAGGATGGGTTTTGGTAAACTCGGTGGGAGGCTCAAGAGCTTGTGATGCTGAAGAGAATTCGGTCCAGTCACCGGACGCGCGGTTCGGAGCGCGGTCTGCTGGGTGCAGCACCAGACATGGAGCCTACTTCCTGTGGTCTCACCACCCGAGGCAGAGGGAGGCAGAGAAGAGGGGCGAGAATCCATCATCGGCTAGACCCGCGTTGCGGTCCACGGGTGCTGTGCCCGTTGGGGGATCGCTAATTAAGAGGCTGGTCAAATCTACAGACTGTGGTCAATGTGGTGAGTTACACTAACCTAGCACTGCACTTCGGATGGAACGGTTCGGTTTAGAGTGCATGCAGATGAGGGGTGTACTGTACAGTAGTAGGAAAAATAGAAATGGATGGCTGGGATGTAGTAGGAATCGGCCCATGCGAGGATTGCATTTGGTGTTGTCTTCATAAGGATGGATCCATTCACCATGTGCTTTGTTGCTGAGGGTGGAAAGTTTAGTCGAAGACTTTCGAATAGGAAGCTTAATACCTGGGCCACTGGACCCGGTCACAATACCTACTCAAAAATAATAAATTACTATTCTTGTGAGGTTGGGTTGGTTCAATCATCAATGCATCTCACCACCGTCGCCCATGGATAGATCGGCGGGACAAGCCTTCTATTGGCGGGGCCAGCCCTGGGCGACAGGCTGTGACCGCCAAAAATAGTAAAAATAGCAGGAGGCATACGCAAACCTCCTTCCTGCCGTGGTTCGTATATGAATTCTTTTCCACTGTCTGTCTGCAGTCTAATGGAGTCTAATGGTTGTCTCCCGTCTCGTCTCCGTCTTTAGTCCGACTTTAGTGGTTTTAGTCGCAATGGTGTGTTCGGTGTGTGATGGGCAAGTAGACTTGGCATTGGTTGCCCGAGACAGTAGTACGTACTCTGTCTCGCCCGCCTCTTTCTCCAGCCCGCCTTAACCACCCACTCCTCCTAAGCACAGTATATTCAAGCACTTGAATAGACGGAGTACCTAGGCAAAGCCACAAGAAAGTGAGCTACGATGCTGAGCCGTCGGGCTTGGCCTGAGTGGATCTAACCATCTTTCATTGCCACTACTAGGAGGTGCAGACACTGGACAGGGCTGATTGTGACAAGAAAGAAACCGAAAATGATAATAATAACAACAACAACAAAAAAAAAGGAACATGGATTATTCCTTCATTGTCTTATTGCGACGGCACCTGGCCCCGGCCTTTCTGCGCTGTCCCCTGCCTCCGGTCTATTTAAGGGATGCCCCTGCGCCTGTCATCCTCTCTGTCCCTTTTTCTTTCTCAAGTGATATAAAGTAACCCCCACGGTCGTTTCCTTTCAAGGCCTCACCCCATTCGCTTCAATCGCTACCTGCTCCCAGAGACATTCGCTTGTGATTCTTGATCGATCTTCATACTCCGCCTCCACAATCGCTCCACCCGATCCAACCCACCTTCCACTATCACAATGCGTTACTCTATCTTCCTGGTTGCTTTCGGCGCTCTCGCCGCTGCTCAGTCCTCTGCTGTCGTGGTAAGCAAGCATTCTCTCCTGTATCCACAACACAAGAATAGTGCTGACATGAAGCTAGGCTCCCTCTCAGCCCGCTGCTGTGACCTCCCAGCCTGTCATCCCCACCCAAGGCTCCCTCCCCGCCGGTGCTTCTAGCGCTGTCATTGGCTCCAGCGCTCCTGCGTCGTCCTTCTCGACGGTGAAGACCAAGACCACCACCGCTAAAACCGAGTCTTCCACCTCCACCAAGACCTCCTCCTCTTCCTCCCAGACCAGCGGCTCCAGCAGCACCAGCACCTCTGAGGGTGCCGGTGTACCTCTCGCCACCATGGCTCCTATGGGTCTGTCCGTGGTGGCCGGTGCCGCCATTGCTGCCCTCTTGTAAAAGGGGCCGGCAATACCCTCCCATCGTCAATGGCCTAAGGCATCTTCCGCTTCGATGAGTCGCACCAGGCATCGACTTGTATATCGTGTTTACGGCTGTTAAGTCTGGCGAACCGAGGTCGAAAATAACCTGAATATATGACCGGTCCTTGGTCGGAGGAACTTGTACCACTGATGGGAAGGCTGTGTTTCTGTGTTTGATTATTTCTCATTCCCCCTCCCTGTTTGATGTCAAGGCCGATCCTTGTTCACCAAAGTTGCATGACTGCGGCGTACATAAGAGCTTTTGATTTTTTTTTCCTAGTAATTTTTAATTGCTTAATGAGTACATGGTAAATACACAAGACAGATAATTCTCTCTCAGCAGGTTTTGGCCAATTGTACATTAGACTCTTGCAGTTGAGTCCACCCCATGTTATCACAGCAGCCATATAGGATAACGGAAAGATCAAATTTATCTCTTGGTGACGTACGTGAGCATTGTATCTGAGTTGTCCACGAATTCCATTCATAGGTCCTGACGGCCTAACTCCGTCTCCAGAGATACAGAAATCGGACGAGAAGATAGAAAGAGATGTAGTCCAATGCTTTGAAGTCGTTGAAATAGTCAATGGCACTTCGATCGATAGTCTACAGTAAATTATGGAGACTCCTCCACTTGTCCAGCTGTTCAAGAGGCCCGGGAGGTGGTCCGCACTCGCCCCTATCCCAATCGGGACTCCTTACCTCATCCAATTACACTGCCTAAAACGCGCGGAGCACGCGAAAAACACGTGACTGCCTGGTGTGTGGGCGCGTTGTTTTTGAGACCCAGCCGGGCTTAGTGCCGTCGCTCAGCTTCACTAAACATCATCAAAACAAATGAGCTGTCGGGTCGTCGCTGGAGTGACTACTTCACTAGTGAGCTTATACAAAAGTACTACTCCGTACTGGGTGTCACAACATTAACTACCAATCGCTCTTGCTGAGAAAGAAAACTCCGAAACAGTTCCACTCTCAGAGATCTAGACATCAGTGACACCTGGTGCTAGCTAGTTCGACACCTGACTTTCACCTAGCTCTTTTTTCCAAGGATCCTTGTCTTGTGAGATCGTCTTATCTTCTTTCCATATATTGTATCACTGCACTTGGGTTCGACTTTTCAGAAAGCCGCACAAAGAGCAGGCAGGATGGTAAGTCTTTGATTTTACCAATTGCAATTTTGCTTTTAGGATATCAGTTTAAGCTAACGGATTTCGAAAGGTTTTAGCGAGCATCCGCCGTCTCGCAGCGGACCATGCTGCATTGCACGAGGAGCTGCCGCCCAACTACCTCTTCCCTGCCGATGATGCCAACGCCGACGATTTGACGCAGTTCACCGCGCTCCTAGCTGGTCCACAGGGTACCCCCTACTCACAGGGACTATGGCGACTACATCTAAAGATGCCGGAGGATTACCCCAAGAGTCCTCCCAAGGCGACCTTCAAGACTCGCATCTGGCATCCGAATGTGGAGGAACTGACGGGAGCTGTCTGCGTGGATACTCTGAAGCGAGACTGGAAGTCTACGCTGACATTGAAGGATGTGCTGATCGTAAGCTGCCCTCCACCCCTATCACCACGATAAACGCAATTGAGGATCTCTCACCCTAATGCCCCGCACGTGTAGACAATCTCCTGTCTGCTGATCTACCCGAACCCCGACTCCGCACTCAACGCCGCCTCCGGCTCCCTCCTGCAAGAAAACTACGAAGCCTTCGCCCGTCAAGCCAAGCTGATGACCTCAATCCATGCACCCGTCCCCGACGATCTCAAGAGCGCAGTCGCCGAAGCGAAATTGCGGGGTGAAGACGCCGGCACCACGATCCCGGTCGAGCAGGACGAACCCCGCACCCTAAGGCCACGCAAAGGAACCAGAATCACGTCCGTGACGATGAAGAAACGGACAACTCGGAAGACCAGCGCGAGGAATACACCCGAATCAGAATCTAGCACAACTCCTCAGACGGTCTCAGCAGCTGCGCCAACGCCGTCATTCAGCCAGACCAGTTTACCCAAACCCTCTCTAGCCCTCACAACCGATCACCTCACCCACCGCGAAAAAGACCTCCGTCACCAGGATTACCTTCAACAACAAACGCATCCAGCTACCAACAACGAAGGAAACAATGGTGAAGATGAAACCCCCTCCGACTCCGAATCCTCCACCAACGCCAGCAAAGAGAACGACCCTTCGCTATCTCCTTCCCCAGTCCGCCACCCCCCACCTCCGACCCTTCGCAAAAACATCCACGGTAAACGTCCGCTCTCCGTCCTAACGCTACCAATGGACATGGACGACGAGGACGAGGACGAGCACGACGACCACCAGTCCGACCCTGATCCCGAAATCACCCCCAACCCCTCGGCTTCAGACCAGAACATCGCCGCTAACCAAACAAGATCAACATCACCATCCAGCTCTCCCAACTTGTCCTACTACAAACACCCCAGCAAAACCCACCCTCTCCCCACAAGAGACAGAGAAAGCGAGAAAGATCACTCCCCCTCCTCTCCCGAACAACCCCGCAACAAGTCCCCCAAACTCTCCATCCCCAAACGAGGTGCCTCCCCCATGAAAGGCGTCAACGCTTCCGGCCGCATCCGCGACGATGTCGTAGCCTCTACCCCTGCGACGGCGGCGGCAGCAGCAGCAGCAGCAGCGACAGTCGACCTCCAGATCTTCGAGGACCCGTCCTCGTCCCCGGGCTCGGACGACGAGGAAACCCGCCGCCGACGGAGTGGGGACGGCAAGGAGAACCCCATGTCCAAGGATTTTCTCGCCTCCGCTTCATCGTCCCTCTTCCCTGGGAACTCATCTCACCAATATTCCCCGCTCGCGGAACTGGGGCCTTCTACTACTACTACTATTACTGCTGCTAATACGACGGGCACTATGTCTTCTCGACGTGCCGTCTCCGCGTCCGTCTCTTCAACTTCGAAACCGCTCCGGTCCATGACATTGGGCGCGAGGAAGGTGTCGGCGTCGGCTGGCGGGACGGGAAAGAAAGTGAAGCCGAGGATTGGGATACGGCGGTTGTAACCTCTATGCCTTTTCCTTTCTCTTCACTTCTTGTTTTGAGGTTGTTAGCATTATGTTCATTGCGGAGTTGGTTTTACGAGACTGTTGGGATGGGTTTCGGTTGTGAGGATTCTTTAGCCTGGCGTTTACTATGTTTGGATTTGTAGAAGTACACCCCGACCCGCATGTGATAGACTGTACCTGTTTAGGTAGTCCGGTTGTAAGATGTATGCAAAACTCAAGGAGTCTACCGCAATCATTGCTTAGCGTGGAAACTGTTGACTTCATCGCTTGGCTACAATTGTAACTCTGAGGATTAATCAGTGTTCTGGAACATGTGCTGTTTGAAACTATGCAATATCTAATGATGAATTCACAAAATTTGCCGAGACAATTGAGCTTGACTGGCTTTCGATCTGGCCGAGATAAGTACCCCCTCTCGTCACGTCACATTGGATCAGGCATCTAGCCCTCGGATCTTCATGATCGGCAAGACGTAAAGATAACCCTCCATCACCACGGAGGTTCACACTTCGATCTCCTTGAGTCAGGTCCACACGAGGCCCTGCTGCAAAGTCTCAAGTTAGGCTTGCCCCTGTTTCCCAGGAAGAGCTTCAGACATTATAAGAAAAAAATAACACGCTAGGCTGATAAAAGCTATACGACCATGAGCATGAGGTGGTGCCTCGCTCAGCTGACGGAAGACAATCAAACTGGACGACCACCATCAGACAGCCACCCTAACAATCCGCTAAGCAAAGGTCAAATCTGTACTGTAAACATGTAAAACACATCCAGAGAAGACATATGATGTACGGCCCCTGTTACAGCGCGTAGGGGTTAACAGAGCGGATAGTAAGGCATCTGTGTCGCGGTTAGCTTGGGGACTCGGCTGAGAAGAAACGGTAACCGAGGAGAAACATACGGTGGGCTCTTGCTCAAATCAGTCTTTAGGATGATGGGCACCCGAGACATCTCGGTGACATCCTGAATGTACTCTCCATCCTCCTCTCTGAGCTTGAACAGCCGGAGATACTTCTCCTTGTTCGTCAACTTAGCTTCAGGAGCATCGCCACTGATGGTCGCAATCTTGGGGTCAGAACGTGTCCGATGAGGCGCCTGAGGGAGATGGCCATTGCGAGTAGGCGAAGGTGGCATGCTCTGGGTGGAACGGTCGACAGCGGAGTTCAATGAAACACCCGCAGCCATCTCGGTGACTTCGGAAACGTCGTCATCGTCGTCGAATAAAGCGTCCACGTCATCATGCGACATGGTGCCAGTCTCGGTCTGTCTACGGATGGCTTCTTCGCGCTCGCGAGCACGCTCACGTGCAGCCTCAGCTTCGCGGGCAGCAGCAGCAGCTTGAGCAGCGCGAGAGTTGGCAGGCTTCGGCCGCTCGTCTTCAGGGATATAAGCAGAGGATGGCACTCCCTTCTCCCAGTAAAGCTCCAGCACACGCGACTCCTTGCGGAATTCGGCCTTCTTCAAAGGCAGCTGATCGCAGTGGACACGCTTCTCAAATCCATATTCTGGGATGAGAACATCGAAAGCAGACTCATAAACACAGAGAACGATACCCTCGCTAATGAGATCACCGCCATGCTCTTGACGGATTTTATCCATGCTTCTGCAGGCTTCAATGTGAACACTTTGCTCCTGGGCATTGTGTGCGGAGTCCTTCTTGTTATTGCAAAGATCGGCAGTCTTGTTCAGCGACTCCAGATCCTCCGAAAGCTCAATAGCACCGTTGGACAGAACAGCCTCCAGCTGACGATGAACGAGCATATCCGCATAACGGCGAGATGGGTTAGTAAAGTGTGTATATACTGGCAAATTAAGTGTATAGTGTTGTCGCTGGTCGTCAGATGTGCTGCCAGCCACGTAGTACTTGGCACGTTGCATTGACTTCATAAGAAGCGTTTCCATACCCTACTACTGTCAGTAACGAAGTTTCATATATTCGACCAGAAGGGTGAGTCTCCTGACCTTGCGCAGATCATCATCTTGGACCTTGCAGAGACTGCTCTGCAGGGTCCCGCTGCTGGTTGGGTCCAAGCCGAACCCAAGTCTGTTCATGCGTTCAACGAAAAGCTGAAGACGACGGGCGTTGGGTGGGGTTTGGCGGCGGAGGAAGGCCCTATCCGGCAAAGCAGCGGCCAAGCGACGGGCTACCAAGGAATCGGCTTTAAAGCTGAGTTCTTCAACCATCTCACGGACAGGAGAGGAGTCGAAGATATTACCCTCAACGGGCACATTCTCGTCATCGAGCTGGTACAAAAGGCGAAGGGGAGGGATTTGTGAAATCCGATTGCCGAATCTAGCCTCCTTGAATCGTGAAGTGACAGCCTATTTACAAGATACCATTAGCTCAGCCGCTCAACCAAGACTAGACGAGATACTGCGGGTCGAGTTCACGAGATCACTTACATAAAGGGCTCTGATAGTGTCAGCGGCGACACCGGGAGCGGCAACGTTTGAAGTTCCCTGAAGAATGGAATTGACATCATCATAGCTGAGGCGACCGGAACTCTTGATGATGGTCTTGCCGATCCAAACGTCATCCTCGATAGC